AAGGGACCGGTCATTATTTATGCTGGGGGCTGGCACCGAAGAGAAAAGGGTTGGGTAAACTAAATTTTGAGTAAGTAAAAGGTTGGGTAAATGAAAAACAAAACAACTCAAGGGTTGGGTAATAAAAAATTATTGTCATTTCCAAAGCATGACTCACTGAAGTATTGGGGACTAAAAAGCAATGGCAACAGTAGGCCCTACTCTGGGGCGATAACGAGATAATGCAAGTTTAATTAAGCAAATTTAGGTGATTTAAGCAAAATCTGCAATTTAAGCAATGCGAGTTTGAGCGATATAGGGCAATGTAAGAAAACAATTAAAATTTTAGGGAATGCTGTTTTAGGTGTTTAGAGGTAATTTCAGGAATATACAACTATATCCCTGATGACTCCAATGAAATTACCATTAACCTACGCCAAGCATCCAAACATGAGTGTTCCCACAAACACACACACATGCAGTGTATGAAGCAAAATATACAATTTAACAAAAAAGTTGAAGTCTGCTTGAGGGGGTTCTGGAAACAAACAATACACTGTATGCGCATGACGATCAAGTGTTTAAAGGGTAAATAAGTTCAATATTCATGACTTTTTCCATCCATTGTCTATTTCAAAGCCATTGGGGTATTATTAAATCCATGACACAACTATAATACATGACCACATGCTCACATCATATGCAATTGCAAACAATTTTCAAAGGAGTAGGGTACAGAATTGCAATATAACAACATATAAGTAAATTATACATGTCATGAACTTACCAGTTTGTGTTGAGTTAAATTTAAAAATTTTTATGACATCAAATATTATTTATTTATTTGCAAATCAAAACATTTTAAAATTCTCGTGTTTTGTTTTGTTTTGTATTGCGCCCGCGATATATTAATGGTATTAACTGCTGTGAATATGATATACATTTTTAATACATTACATTTGCGCTCAAAAGTTCAGGAAGTGAGTTTCTAGAAAGGATGAAAACTCCGTTTTATATATGGTATGTAAAAGGTAATCGTTGTTTACTGTTTATTTTGTATTCAGGTATGGGGAATTTAAGCGATGAGAGTTGCAAAACTTGCAAATGTAGTCTGACTAGTTTCTTTGACGTCATCATGCAACTATTTAATATTGTGCTGCATTCATTATTCAATTTATTCACGGCAATTAGCCTTCTATAAGCCATACAAATGATTATAGCTTATAGCCCACCTTGCCTTTAACATTGATCCTATATATAATGAATTAACATAACTAACTTGATTATGTTGCTAGTCGAGTATGGGACCTATGGTTCTTCTAGGACCTTCTAGATCCTCGAGTAGCACAATTAATATAAAGTCTCCGTAAGGCGGTAATATTAAAGACTGTTCTTATTTATGCATGACCTTTGACTATTAAGTGGCCAAAAATTGTGCCTACAGTAATCAACTTATTCCACTATCCAGGTTGCATCACTTTTGATTGCAAAACACCCGGGTTTATTATACATGGATTTGCTAGCAAAATAGCAGCAATTGATGAACTTGGTGTTATACTAAGATTTACTAAATGTGTAAAGAAACAACGAAAAGTATATATCAATCAGAGTCATTATCTTGATCAATTTCCGATGGGATCTCCAAAGAAAGTAGCTACATGTGCAGACAACATGAAACTTCAGACTGCAGAAAATTTCACAATCCATTATCAAACTTATGTCACAGAAGTGGTAAAGGACATATGTGACAACTGAATAGTACCTTTTGTAAATTTTTTGGCCAGGGGTGGGTATTTATTTTTTAATTGATATTTGAGGTTGGGTAATCAATTTTGTTTACTTTTTAATGGTTGGGTCAGCAAAATTTTTGCTACGAAAAACATTTCTCTTCGGTGCCACCCCCCGCCATAAATAATGACCGGTCCCTTAATGATATCCTTGGGAGAAAAAAGAAGGACACAACGATTAACGAACTAAAGCTAGGAAATGATACAATTACTTCTCCTATGAGAATGGCTAATTGTCTTAATGACTATTTTACAAGTATTGGTGGTAAAATTGGAGACTCCTGCTCTGAACACACTCAGAATTTAAATTTTGGCAAACATACGAGTGATTTTTAGGCTACTTAACAATTTGTCTATTTCTAAATCTACTGGATGTGATAAAATACCAGCTAAAATTCTAAAATATTCTGCTTCTGTAATTTCACTATCTTTGACCAATCTGTTCAACTCTTCTATTGGGATGGGAATTTTCCCGTCTGAATGGAAAATTGCTAGAGTTGTACCGCTTCATAAGAAGGGTTCACGCTCCGTTTTAGACAATTATAGGCCAATATCAATTTTGCCGGTTATTAGCAAAATATTTGAAAAGATCTTGTATGAGCAGTTATACGAATATTTTACCACCAATAATTTATTGCCTGAACAGCAGTTTGGGTTCAGGCGCTTTCATTCCACGTCCACTGCATTGCTGGATTGTACTAATGAGTGGTATGTTAATATGGATCGTGGTTTATATAATCATGCCGTTTTTCTCGATTTAAAACTAGGGATCCAAGGATAGTGTGAAGTTTCGAATTGAAAAAGACACTGCAAGAACTATATATGGTCGCCGACAACCTAGAAAAGCTGATGGCTTACACTACGAAATAAACAGTTACCAAAGGCAATTCATCTCATTATTTATTGCTTTTAATACGCTCGGCACACGAGTAGCGTGACGTTTGAAACAAGCCTAACACACCAGAAACGTGACTTGTGAAACTGATGCAATTTATCTATTTATTGTGATGCTGCACGATGCTACACGAGACAATTAAATGGTTTCACCAACAACCAAATTTTGCATATTCTAAATTTTCATTTGCATTTGCAGCTGTCGCTAAAAGCTCCCCACGAGGCTACTGCTATGCTAAATTTATCTAAAACTATAATTGAAATAGCTTTGTAAGATATGTTATGAATAATAAGCACTACGTCGTTACATCATTAAAAGGACGCATTTTATCCTCATCCGTTCCGTATTTTATCCGCATATCCGTTCCGTGGATCCGCTCCCGCATTTTAACCTAATTGTGACATGCTTCACAATAACAAGTCTCATTGACCTTTGACTTTTCCCAGTGTCACGTCTATTTTCAGCTTTTCGCATGTGTTGAATAATATCACTTTAGAGTTTAGATTTCAATAGTTTCACAGTTAAGCAGTGTTTAATAAAGCAGTTTTGACAAGCTTTGAACAGTTCTGTGTACAGAATACTACAGATTGATTCTCGTAAGATCTGGTAGAGTTATCGTTGCACTGAACAAGAGTTTGCACCGTTGACAACGGCGTTGTGCTAGACAGTAAACAAAGACAAAGCCCGTGACGGTACACGTTGGCTACATGTACCTCCTTGCTTTTTTTTTCTATTGCATAAAGCTTGTTGGCGAGCCAAGCGATTGGCGATAACACGTTGGCGATAACGCATTGGCTATCTCCTCGTCTTTCTTATTTAAATAAGGAGCTCTGACCCAACTGATTTCTTTAGTCTCGCAAGTTATTTTCTTCGTAAACGCCGTACAAACGTTTACCCGCTTCTGTTTAATAGTTGTTTCGCTCTTTGTACTGAGCGTAGCCATCTATTCTGTGATGTACGTAGCACCTTATACAGTCAATGACAATGTATAATGAATACACGGTCTAAATAATATCGATGGGCACTTAATTGAATACCGGTAATGCACAACATAATAGTATTGTTGCGTAGAATCTCAAAGGACAAAGATTTTCTCAATATTCATGTCTGAAATATTCATATACTTGAAAACAACACTGTCTCGCTTCTGCCTACGTATACTGTACCTCTGTATAACGAGTATGCCGTGAAAATAATATCGGCACTCAATCGAATGCCTACAATCTCAAAGACTTTCTCCTTATTTACGTCTGAAATGTTTATACATTTGAAAACAACACTGTCGCTCCTTCCTAGCTCTGTATATTAATAAATTTACCGTCCACATACAGTATATCAGTACTTGATTGAAAGACCGTCATGCATAACATAAATTTATATATTGCGTAGATTCTCAAAGATTTACTAATATTCCACGTCTGAAATGTTTAAATTTATACATTTGAAAACAACACTGTCGCTCCTTCCTAGCATCGTGATCGTGCTACGGCTTCATAGCGCATGCGCATTTGCCCTGCTATAGAAAAAATCGGGTGTTCCGGGGGGAAAGATCCTTTACACAACATGAGAAGCGAATGTTCTGAAATTACAAAAACTTACAATAACGACAACGATTCCTCGAAATTTTTGTGAACTTGGCAAAAGGACAAAAGAATATTTAAAGAAAATAAATAAAATTGCTTAAATAACCTTCAAAGCACTGACTAAGTACAATAAATCACTGCGAACATAAATCGTATACACCCCCCGGAAAGTTTACTCTATGATTGACTGACTGATTCGTGTGAATTCGCCAGCCATCACAATAGTGTGAAGTGAAACTTCACACTAAAAAGGAAGCATTTGACACGGTAAACCACGACATTTTACTGGCTAAACTAGAGTTATACGGTATTAAGAATACGCCTCTTATATGCTTTTCAAATCTTATCAGATCGATCTCAGCAATGTCAAGTAAATGGGTAACTTTCCACATTAAAATATCTAAAATATGGAGTTCCTCAGGGTTAAATTTTGAGTCCACTTCTGTTTTTAATTTATATCAATCATTTACCGAACTGTTTACAACACTATACAGCACGTATGTTCGCCGACGATACTAACATTACAGTGTCCGGTAAATCAATTAAGGAAGCTGGGGTGGCCGTTAATGCTGATCTCAATAATATCAGAGAATAATAATAATAATAATAATAATATCTTCTATCAAACAGGCTTTCTCTTAACCTTGTCAAAACGGAATATCTTTTGAGTGGATCACGCCACAATATTAACACGTTGGAAGAACAACCACGTGTTTTTATTCGGGATGAACCAATTAAAGGGGTTCAAGTTACAAAAACTCTTGGAGTCAAAATTGATCAATTTTTAACTTGGGACAGTCATATTGACCAAATTTCAAAAAAAAAAATCTTCTGAAATACGTGCCATGAAAAAGATAAAGGATTTTACTAATTCTGATACTTTGAAGTCAGTGTATTATGGTCTTGTCCAACCCCATTTCGACTACTGTTGTGAAGTTTGGAATTCCATTAAGAGAGGCCAGTCTGAACGACTACAAAAACTTCACAACAGATGTGCTATAGAATTATAATGAACTTTAAAGATGAGCCTGGACAATCTCAACTGGCCCTCGATCAAGTAGGGTGGATAAGCTTGGAAGAAAGGCGAAAACATATTATGGCCCGTCTCATGTTTAAGGTTGTCAATAATTTGGCACCATCGAGGATCTCATCAATGTTCCAGAATTCTAAACATATCCACAGTTATAATTTACGAGGTTCAAATTCGTCTCTCTTTCTGCCCCGACCAAATACCGAGTATGGCAGAAAATGTTTTCGATATAGTGGGGTTAAAATCTGGAATACCATTCCTGAACAAGTAAGAAACAACGAATCTTTAAATTCTTTCAATAGAAATATTTCCTCTGTTAGTCTGACGAATTAGCTATTTGACTTTTGTATACCATTTGTTTTGTAATATGTATTTGTATTCGTAGTTCTTAATATTCTTAGTGATTTTGTATTTTATATATTTTTGTTACATAATTTATCTACGCCCCACTTGGAAAGCAGCTCCAGTTGAAGTGGCCAGCGTAGTCAAATAAAGTTTTATCTTATCTTATCTTATGTATAAAACTGTTAATCACTTTTTTAATCACTATTTTGTGGTTAAATAGTGATTAACTCTCAAATACGCCCTTCTTATTGGATGACGTTTCCACAACTATAGTTAACTTTAATAATGCACTTTTTTATACAACCGGTCCCTGCCAATCAAATGTCACGAAAGTGTTGGAGTTCTCTTTTAGTGACTGATGAGGGTCACGAAAACTCATCTGGCCTGATCTGGCCTTTACTGTAAATTTTGTCCCAACTACAGCCTGTCCATACGACTATAATGAAAGATTCAATGTGATGTGTTTTGCTTACCAAGTTTGCTGATACCGCTGTCGTTATCAAACCATAAGGACCATTGACAAATATACCACTTACAATCATGAGTCCTAAATAGAAAAAGCAGGAAGACGGAATTAAAACCCGCACAAACGCTGGACATAAGCCAACATTAACTAAGTATGCCTGGGGTTGGCCTTTAAAGACATTGGTAACCAAAATTTTTATTGCTTCATCTGAAAGAGCATGAAAAAATAAGCCGGTTGGCCGTTTAATGCTCTATTCTATCTCATCTAGTTCCGAAGTTATACACAAAAATGTGCAAAATATAAATTGCTGTTTCAGCACAACGTGTGACGACATTATATTATTCGAAAATGACGTACACATAGATAAATGCAACTAGTTATTCAAAATCAGTGTAAAGGGCCTAGGAACGACTGTGTTACCTTGACAACAAAATTAGAAGTATTTTCCCATGCGTCTCATCATGTACTATCTGTATGCAAAATTTCATTTGATTTGAGCCAATAATAACTTAGCTATGCTTTAGTTTACTATTCAATAAACATACTTACCCAACTAATGACGTCACACGTTGTGCTGAATCAGCAATTTATATTTTACACATTTTTGCGTATAACTTTGGAACCAGATGAGATAGAATAGAGCAGTAAACGGCCAATCGGCTTATTTTTTCATGTATGCTCTTTCAGATAAAGCAATAAAATTTTTTATTGCCAATGTCCTTTAACTCCAGAATTCATAATTAAATTAAGTTTTGAAGCGCACATTTTGAATTTAGAGTTTGCCTTTATACTCCCTAACGTCTGCAACCATGGAAATAGTTGTTGAGGAATGGTAATTGAAAACTAGGGGAATTTTGTTATTTGGAACATTAGACCAAGGGTCTCCAAGGGGTTTCATATCGGGGAATGGTTGAATGCCTTCGAAAACGTATTGTCTAGGAATGGGGTGGGATACGACGTTGGACAAAACAGTTTCTTTTGGTAGTAAAATCCTATGCTTCCCTGGTCACGAAGGAACAGAAAGAAGGGGATCGACCTTTTGGATGTCGTTGGGTTGCAAGTTACAAGAATTTAGTATACTCGGGTTACAAGTTACAAGTTTATTGCCATTGATTATTATTGACACAATTATATATTATATCTAGGAACATTTAATCGCTTAAACTTGTTATTTCCTAAGCTATAGCTATACTAAGTACTAACCAGGGTTCGTACAGGCCAGGAAGAGTTAAATTCAAGGACTTTTCAAGGACATTCAAGGTCGTGTATCAGCAAATTCAAGGACTAAATACTAAAGGTGTTAGAAATCAGCAAAATCTGACGTTGAATTGTTCAAAACGTAACTTTATAATGAGGTCAGATATGAACATGCAAAATCAGTTCAACAAAATGTCCGTCTTGAATGTCAAACAATTTCAGAAAATATCCAAAAACTAAAGCAAGAAGAATTCAAGGACATTCAAGTACTTCTTTACAAATTCAAGGACATTCAAGGCCTTGAATTCTTGTTTTCAAATTCCAAGGACATTCAAGGACTTTCAAGTTTTGTACGAACCCTGACTAACGAGGGGCCTTCGCGCGAAACGTCGATCGAAGTTCTTTTTCTATTTTTCTGGTAGTTTACCATGTAATCAAATAGGTACAGGTATATATGACAATTTGTAACATAATTTCAGTCAAGATATTTACTAAAGTTAGAGGACGTGCTGGGACTAATACAACTTTGTTCCCAGAAAGAAGGCAATTGCCACTTATACCTATATTTGTTCCCAAATCCTTGTTGCCACAAAATCTGTAAAGATAGAGCTGAAAAGAAAAGAGACACTGTGAAGTGGGACGGACAAAAACGTGATTAATTTGTTTAGTCTTTCATGCCCGTATCCATAATATTGTACATAGACTACGTTGAGTAAAGCATTCTATTCTCTCGAACGCCAGATGATTGTACATTTGTACTTGTCAATGGCAAAACACTATGTACAAAAGCAAATTAAACAAACTATTGTGCAGTACTGCGCTCAGACATCAAAAAGTGAAACAAACAAAGGTTGGACGAAAATCAAATACTGGCTGGTTTGTATCGCTGCGCCAGAACATCCCTAAATTATGAAATGCTCTTCACGTTGAAACCATGTTTGAAACTAGAGTGATTTTGTTAAAAAAAGGCGAGGGATTGCCTTTCCAATCATGCATGCATTTCTAGTTTATTTTACATATGCATTTCTAGTTTATTTCTAATTTATTTTTACATATGCATTTCTAGTTTATTTCTACTTTTTTTTACATGCATGCATTTCTAGTTTAGACTGGAGCGTATTTGGCTTAATTCTAGCGGGTATGCAACTTTCGTAGACCAGATATCTGACTTTCGTATATATAGATACTTACTGAAGGTGATGCAAACACTAACATGACGACACATGTTATTCCACTGCAGTGACTTTGGTCAGAGATAACACCAGCTAAAATTCCTCCTGCAATTAGAGAAAAATAGGTACGCTAAGAGAACATAGTGGGGTTCGGTACCCTCTGCATGGTGTTCCCCAGGGGAGACCTCCGAGACCATACCCAGAAACGGCTCTAGTAACACGGCGCGAGTTTGTTATGCCCTGAAAATAACTCATGTTACAACTTAAGAAAGCCGCGCGAACTGGTTGTGTCACGCTATAAAACTAACAGGTCTTCAAAGTCTTTTCCCTTCCTCAGCAAGGGCTTAGAATTGTAAATAGTACTCAACAAATGTTTATTGCTGTACATTGTATTAACACTTGTACCTAAATTACGCAATTCGACTTTATAAGGCGACTATGTAATTTCTTATTGATAAATTATCTATCTAGTATCTACTGTATATTTGTGCCAAAAGGGATGTTGTAAATGCTTTCGTTATTGTTAATTGTTTCGTCGGCGTTATGCTGTGGTTGGGTAATTGAGTTCGTAATATTGTTCAATCAGTGGGTAGCATAAAGGCTTTCGCAACAAGGTTTCAACTTGGTTTCGAGGAGTGAATTTGGCCTCGGCATATGAAATTGGTGGTTAAAGAATGGGACAACTCCTCCCTTGACTCTTCATAATAACATTGCTTAGGGTTTCTGTGCAATGAAGCGTAGTTTTATTTTCCAAATGTCACTAGGAAATGGGTGTGGTTTACTGGCTTCGATGAGTGAATGATCAGCGGTGTATGTGCAGGAGAAAGTGGATGACCCCACACCTTTGAAATATAGGGTGCTAAGACAGAGATAAATATGTTGTCTGTAAATTTATTGACGAATTGTCATCGAAATGGTCTTTATATGTGCTGGTCTGTAATCTCCTCCCCCTAAAAGGATAATCTCAGTATGTATCTGTTTAGGCCTGCTTGGAATCAATTGCAAAGCCTTGCAAATTTGCATCTAATACTTACGTTTCCTTTGATTTAAACTATTGCCTTCAAAAACATGTGGCCGACTGTGAAAAATTACAGAATCGAGTCTTGCACTTACCAATTATGCCTCCAACATCAAAAAATATCGATAAATCGCCAGCTTTGTGTGAGTCGTATCTCACACCACCGATATCTGAATGCAAAATTAATTTGTATATGTGAATACACTGCGGTCCCTAGTTTAGAACACGCAGTACTAGTCCCATGCCTTCTGTAATTTCACGCGGTTATTTGAATTGCAGATAATATACTTGAAGTGCGACTAACTGCAAAGATGATTGCTTTGTATATGTTTAATATTTGGGTCATTCTACGAAGAAATGTGATATATCTTTAAAGTAAAAAACCTCATCTTGATCAATCTTTTTACTGTCAACGTTTCTGGATATGTTGGCATTAGATGAATTGCAAATTCGTTCTCCTTTGGGTTTTTTTTTCACCAAAAATACTTCTAATGACCTCATTTCCGGAAACTTTGACAACGAAAAAGTTTACAAGGAATCAAGATTAAATTTTTTAAAGATATAACATTTCTTCCTAGAATGACCCAAATATTACACACACCGAAACTCGTATTTGTGGTTATTTGAAGGTTAGTCGAACCTTAGGTAAAATTTAAAACTCAGTTATCTGTAAATTGGGTGATTCTCAACTCCAATACGTAGTAACTATACAATGTTTACTGAATTGCGATTTACATTAAATATTTAAAAACATGTTTGCATTAACCTGTATGAGCAATGTAATAAGGAAGCCAATACAGAAATGTATAGCTGACAAGCTTGGCGAAGAACAGGCACAGTGAATACTCCAAAACGCCCTAGGAAAAAGAAAACTAGTTTTATAGGTTAAGCCTGGTATAAACGGGTCCAACAGGATGTTGAACAATGTTGGGGGAACCTAGGCATGTTCAGTGATCACGCGTAATCCACAAATGCCAATGATTATGCGTAATCGTCCAATACTGCACCATGTTGGATAACATTTTAAGGCTCATTCAAACAAGACCAACCAACTTTGGTCAAACATCACGTAACAAGGTGAAATACAAGGTTTAATTGCTTATTTTCCCAATCTTCTTCATGATTCGATAAAGATTTATCCAAATTCAAAATCTTTGCTTCGAAATATTTTCAATAGAAACAAAGATTTGAGAATTGTACGTTGGTTGATGAAGCATAAATCTTTCTAAATGTTATATATACCAGTACTAATTACCTCGACAAATACACTTTAAATCCTACACAAAACTAACTGCTGTGCTTTTATTCATTTAATTATTTCATCAGAAATGGTAAAATGACCATGGCGGTCAACATGGCATATGTGCGAAAACCTGAATCCGGGACGAAAGTCCTGAAAATGACCCCGCCCTGTAACGGCAGTGTCGATATAGCTCTAACTTCCAAAAAGGAAAAGCGATAGCCTTTCTGAAGTGCTTATAGTTTTTAGAAGGGTTGCTTTTAGGGGTGGTCATTGGAAGGAAAAATTTGTCTAAGTATAATATTTTACCAGAAAATGACTATGCACCACCCCAGGTAAATTGCTGATTATGCACAAAATAACTAATATGCCTGGCAGAAATTAAATATTCTTATTTCCTAAAAAAAATTATTATGGGGTGAAAAACTATGCTTAATTTAATATAAATATTGTTGATTTCGTAAGGATTGTCATTGTTTTCTTTAAATATAATACATTTTAAATATTTCACTTACCCCCCCCACGAAAACACGATTTCAGCCATATTTTGCCGTCTGTTTGCTTTTTATCGCGGAATCTCGCAAATATCATCCAGTTATTGTACTTTTACATAATTATAAATGGCTGAAGAAGATTTCAAAGAAGGTTTCATCCACTTTTGTAACAGTGCAGTGTATTTTATCTTCGATATTGTGTCCTTCGATATTTCGTCAAATTGCCGCCATTTTAATGGCTCGCCGCTTCTCTGCCCAATAAATGCCACTTCTTCGTTTTCATATGTATTTAGATTACATTCCAGGTGATCTCGTGTTCGTATTTTAGCCAATCAGCGCTCAGAAAGGGTTGTCCGAATAGAAATCCATTTTGATGTATTCAGTCAATTATATCTTTCGTTATTCTTTATGAAACTAGTTGAAATTTTGTAATTATGTTTGGTTATGAGAACTATAGCTCTGACAAAAATATGGAATCGAAATAAAGTATATTACGGGAGATATTCAGTTGTTTTAATCACAAAATGGATTTCTATTTGACAACTAGTGCCAGTACTTTTCCGCGCATCAAGATCATCTGGATTATCCAAGAGTACTTCCTTGTAGAATAGTACCAATCCAAAAATTGAAAATATTATTGGTACTTGGGAGGTAAAAACCTCCCATAATAGTTGTCCTGTTTGAATTCAAAAGAAATAATTTAAAAGTCACGCGCAAGTTCGCGAAAACACCTCGTGTACTACATGACAGGGGGGTGAATATTTTCACGAAACGTTTGTTCGCCACCACAGCAACCTAACTAAATGTATTATATTTTTTGTATTTTTATAATTGATACGCAAATATTTATTGCTTTTATCATAAATCACAAATATACAATAAATATAATGTACTTAGTTAGGTTGCTGTGGCCTATGGTGGCGAACAAACGTTTCGTGAAAATATTCACTCCCCCCTGTTATGTAACCCACAAGGTGTTTTCGCGAACTTGCGTGTGACTTTTAAATTATTTCTTTTGAATTCAAACAGGACAACTATTATGGGAGGTTTTTTCCTCCCAAGTACCAATAATATTTTAAATTTTTGGATTGGTACTATTCTACAAGGAAGTACCCTTGGATAATGTAATCTAAATACATATGAAAACGAAGAAGGCCAATTTATCGGGCAGAGAAGCGGCGAGCCATTAAAATGGCGGCAATTTAATGAAATATCGAAGGACACAATATCGAAGATAAAATACACTGCACTGTTACAAAAGTGGATGAAACCTTCTTTGAAATCTTCTTCAGCCATTTATAATTATGTAAAAGTACAATAACTGGATGATATTTGCGAGATTCGGCGATAAAAAGCAAACAAGACGGCAAAATATGACTGAAATCGTGTTTTCGTGGGGGGTAAGTGAAATAAAATGTATTATATTTAAAGAAAACAATGACAATCCTTATGAAATCAACAATATTTATATTAAATTAAGCATAGTTTTTCACCCCATAATAATTTTTTTTAGGAAATAAGAATATTAAATTTCTGCCAGGCATATTAGTTATTTTGTGCATAATCAGCAATTTACCTGGGGGTGGTGCATAGCATTTTCTGGTAAATATTATACTTAGACAGATTTTTCCTTCAATGACCACCCCTAAAAGCAACCCTTCTAAACACTATAAGCACTTCAGAAAGGCTATCACTTTTCCTTTTTGGAAGTTAGAGCTATGTCGACACTGCCGTTTCAGGGCGGGGTCATTTTCAGGACTTTCGTCCCGGATTCAGGTTTTCGCACATATGCCATGTTGACTGCCATGGTCATTTTACCCTAAAACAGTTAAGATTACCTGTCCTAAATGAATCACATACAAACTCATATACAGGTCCTAGACTATAATGCATCAGTCAAATCCAAGCGTGCCCATCCCTCCGGGCTACCCAAGGGCATTTTCCTATAAAGCACATCCCAGGGGTTGGGCATTTGAACTCAAACCTTTGCCCGGGGCATTTTGAAATTAAGAATTTGGATTACTTTATACATGCCCAAAATACCCTGTTATGTTTTGTGGTATTCTGATAAATGTATGGGCACTATAGGCATAGCTCTGGTGGCATTTTTTGTACTGAATAATACACTGTCAAATAAATAATCCATTCCTGTATATAAAAAGGGTGGCAATACCTCAAAATATGAAACGAAAAGCATTTTTATATGGACACTCTGCACAAAGTATATACATCAACATTTATATGAAGGCAGTATTGAGGCTGCAAAAACGTGATTAAAATCTAAACTCTAAATATGAACTGAAATAGCTAAAGGCCTCCACGCCCACAGATGCTTTTTTTGAGCGAATTGCAAAATATCTTGCCTGTTTCTTTTGAATTGTGAGGAATCAACTAGAAATAATTTATTCGACTGGTCACAATTCAAAAGAAACAGGCGAAATTATTTGCATTTCGCCGGAAAAAAGCGCCCATGGAATCAGGCCTTTATAATATATGTTTGTGTGTGTGATAGCTGTGCGTCCAAGCTTATATTATTTTTAGGCCTTTTTGTTTTTCTTCTTTTCCCTTGTAGCTTTAGCGTTCTCTACTCCTCGTTTTCTGTTCTCAGCGACCTGCTGAAGGTGGTTTAACCAAATTTTGACCTCACGTATCTATATTTAATACTGATTCGGTATTATCCTGACATTTATGGTAATCTGTTAAAATATTGCTGGGTGGTGGAGATCGAATTGCTTTTCCTTCAGAATATAGTTGCAACAACTGGTCGACATTTGTGACATAATGACCGTAGCAGGTTGGAGCACAAATCTTGCATTGTGTTACTTTCGACGGCCTACTTGGATCAACAACTGGATGCGGAAAGAAACTAAACTATGGGCCAGCTGGAAACCATTTGACATCAACGGGAAGATCTCTGACTCCTAAAAAACAACAGTTAAATTACTCTCCGAATTGAGTGAATGTACATAAATTCGAGTGTTGTAAAACTCATAAAATTAAACACACCTGGTTCCTTGCATCTAGGACATTATATAAGGCAGATCTTGGTCTTCATGTTTGTTTAATTCCTCCTCTGTCATGGCAATACAATCTCCGTGAAACCAATTTCCACATTGGTCACATGAAATCATGAACCTGCAAACAAAAAAGTAACTTTGTACTCGTATACACACAGTACACTCAATGACCCATTCCGTTTGGCATACAATTTTAACATGTCTGTGTGAATGCAACCTTGCAACATTAAGGGTTTTTCAAGAAATATTTTTTTAAATTTGGTACATATTGAGAGTCAACTGTCTGCAGAATTAGCTAAATAAAGATTTAATGAAGAAATGATACTATATTTTGAAAAAAAATATGTGTACCTTTTTTACACAACGGATGTTTGCCAACTTTTCCCACAACTTTTCCCACAGCATTTCAGCATGAACACATAATTTTTAGGGAGACTCTCATCTATATGGTTGTTTCTGACGTCCCAGATTTCGGTAAAGTAAGCAAACAATGTAGGATTATCATGCTTTAGTTGCTCTTTCGCTTTCTTACTCGCTTTCAAGAACGTTGTCAACTCTTTTCTTCTGGAAACGTGTATTTGATCCACAGGTCCTTTGATAAGATTAATCTGTGTCCTCATGCATGGAGTGCCATCAACTCTGCTGATATATTTGGCAATTGCTGCACACATGTCTTCTTTGTGTTTTTCTTCATCAAGTCCGCCATCATCAGCTTCGTTGGATCCCATTAAGTCCATTAATGTCGATGGTATAAACAAGTTAGAATGGCTTCTTCCGAGACATCTGTTTTGGAGCTCAACTCTATTGAGGAAACTGTCCCCACTGCACCAGGTGGTAACTAACGTGATCGTAGTTGGCTTGGTCATGTGATGCTCAGTCCACATGAATTGAACTTTGTCGTGCAATGGACCTTCGTCACCTGCTCCATCTACCTGAATGCATTCTACATCTTTGGGTTCCTGGGTATTCTCTTTGTAAAACGCTGATTTCAATATATCTACTCCTTCAAGTGCTACAATATCATCAGCATGCTGAGGACTCTTTTCATGAAGTTTCGTTTTTTTTTTTAAATTATAAGACGTCTGAAGCTGGGTCTGGTTCTTATTAACGAAGTCTGTCCGGGTGCTTATTAACGAAGTCTGTCCGGGTTGTTTATTTGTGGGATTCAAAGATTTGTGAGTTCTTGTGTGTAAATGTTGAGTCAAGGCGAAATGTTGAGTCCAGCCTGGTCATCACGGTTTAATAGTAAAATATCCTTTCCATCTTTTAGGAGTTGTTTAAACAATTTGTACATGGAACGACTCCATTTACTGTCCGGATTGTACTTTAAAGTGAATCCGTTCCTTGCTCTTTGATATTTAACATTGGCTACACTTTTATATCGCTTGCTGGATAACCTGCACTTGTGTCTTGGTACACACAGCTGAACCACGGTACCATAACTAAACTTTCTTTCATAATGTGACTCTAGCTCTTGTTTTATCTTGCCAAATGTCATCCATTTGCTTTCCTTTGGATTACCTGTAAAGGTATACACGCCTGTTCTTCGCCAGCGATCTGCTCCAACATCACTCTCTTCCACTATTTTCTCAATAACTTGACCTATGTCAGGAAACTGGTCTAAAATAGTGTTACTAGACCGTGTGACTTTTTTCCTCAAAAGTCTGTTGATTTGGATTTCCTTTGTTGTTTTCTTCCGAATCCTGTCTCTAATCTTCTTCAGTTTACTTTTGACGTCATAACTGTTTTTTTCAGATGCTATATCACCACTTTCATCCTTGTCGCTGGAACTTTCATCAACGCTACTTTCACTAAACTGGGGCACAGTTGTGGAACTATTCTCCATTTCTTACATTTTATGAAGATATACAGTCCTTGAAGTTTGTGTTTAACTTAACTTCTTCCTCACTAAGACCAAGCTCAGGCAATTTCGAAGAAAAATCGTCTAAGAACTGGTTAAGCATTTCTGATGTTCTGCGTCCCGAAAAAATTCTTCCATTACTGAAACAAAAACAAACCAGTTGAAGTTTGCGTGTTGTAGTTTCTTTCTCACAATAAGTGAATGGGTCTCAACATCTATCTTGCTTGAAGTTCTGCTTTTATCTAGGAAATTTTCTTGATCAGCAACCGTAACTTCCTTTTCCTGACATGTTTCACTGTCGGAACATTCACTATCTAACAAAATTTTGGAATCATCGGATGATTCTGAACTAGAGAAGCATTCACGAGGGTCCAGTCCACATGAAACCAAAAATGTTTCTTGCTCAATTCTCATTGCTTCTTTATGTTTTCGTTTAATCTCTGCAACTACTAAAGCTGCATCTTTCACAGGTTCTGCACGCTTCTCTACGTTAGCAATCCCATAAACTCTACTCGCTGCTCTTTTTGACAGGTTGTAGGCACTACAAATAGCATGTTTTAATACTTGCTTTTGTGATGTACTCTCACTTATGCTGAGAAGTTCGTCGTATTCTTTTCTTGGTAGGTAGTTATTTTCTTTTAGCAATGAATTATCCCCAGTAGAAATGTTAATTTTGGCTGTTATATCTTTGTAGTTACCACACTCGCAGTCTTTCTCCACAATAAACAATCTGCCATTTACCGTGATTTTGCTGCCACTGGCATCTGTAAGACTTTGCATTGCGCTTTTCCACTATTGTATTTGCCATTAAAGTATTTGTTTCACAGGTAAGGCAGATGCACAAATTTATTCTCCAGAACACATTTACTAGTGCTAATAAAACTATTACATTTTGAGCAGTTTTTGTGATTTCTTAGCAATTATGTACATTTTAAGGGTTAGTTCTTCCATAAGACTTTCTCTCACACCATTATTTACAGTTGTTTTGCTTAGCATACGCGATTCTTGCTTTGAAAGTATGTCTACTAATGCTGAAATATCCAATTCATGTTCACAGTCAGTTAATGCCCTTCCCAGAGTAGTTTGCATCTGGGAAGGTTCTAAACAAACTTTTCTTCAGTTTGGCCTTTGTTTTCTGATACACATGTTTCACCTTGGAAAACATCAGGTTTGTTGGATTTGTTCTCTTGACACGCATTGCTTCCTTATCCTTCGTTAGCAACCTCGATGTTGTCATCCTTTTCTGTTGCAGGGTCATCTTTTTTCTTTTTTACCTGGATCTCCCTTTCCTTGCCATCATCTATTTTGGTTTCGACTTTATTGCAATCTTTCTTCATCTTGTGACTCTCTTTTTCGTCGCTGATAATGATTACTTCTTCCTCGTTCTTTTTGGTATTTCCTTGTGCACCCTTGTTACCTTCAATTTGGCTATCCACGTTTTCCTCTTCGAGGGATGCAATGAGGTTGTTGCCAACATCACTCTCATTATCACTTAACGGCAAAGTGTCATCACTCTGGTTTCCTGTGTCATCCTCTTCTCTAACAGGAGTTTTCTCCTTTAATATCAACATACTACGGATATCATTAATACAGGACTTTTTGGGTTGTTGGCAATTTGTTTGGGTTTCACTTTGGTGTTTTCCCTGCTTAGACTTGTATTTAAGATGTTTGGCTTCCTTTTTCTGGAGTTCCACATTTTTGACAGGTGTGCTTGCTCTTACAATCCTTTGCTTGGTGTCTTGCGCCAGTGGAATTGAAGCAAAGTCGCTTTTCGCTAAGGGTCTTTCTACGCTGTTTAACATAAGTGACCTTTCTACACTCTGTGGCTTTGTGATCCTTGCCATCACAATACACACACCATCGAACTTGGTGAAGGGTTGCTTGGTAAGAGTGACCATGACCACAGATATGACTACCTCCCTTGCGATCACTCGGTTGAATTGGACTGCGGTCACACCACTTTCTGAGAGATTCAACTAGCTGTAAAAACCCCCACTGTTGCCAATCATCGTCAAGGAGAACCAGATCCGGTCTAATGCCTGGTAACTTATCCAGAGTTCCACGTACAAACCCCCCAATCTCTTTGAGTTTGCCTAATGTTTCCAATGTTTGAACATGACTTGCAAGTGTCTCATAAAATTTGTGCACTTTGGCTGGCTCTGTTCCATGAAGTTTAGGTAATCCTAAAATACACTGTATGTGTGCATTTATGACTTCACTGATTTGCCCATACTTGGTTTTCAAAATCGTTTTCACTCTCTCATAACCTTCAGATGAGAAAGGAAGCCCTTCTATCATTACTCGAGCATTGGGCATGAGCAATTCTCTTAAATAGGATAGCTTGGCTACCTGTGTTATGTTGGACTTGTCAATTTCAGTTTCAAATTGATTCCAAAATCTTACCCAATCTAGATGATTGCCTTGAAATTTGCTAATCACAAGCTTAGGTAACTTAGCTCCCATCTCGCCAATACTTTTGAGGCCTTGGGACTTGCTTTTGCCTTTTCTAAGGGAGTGGTCATTGTTTATGGCCGGGGTGGGGCCCGAAGAGAAAATGGTGGGGTAAACAAAAAATTGAGCATGTGTTAGGTTGGGTAAAAAAAAATTCACATGCACAAGGTTGGGTAACAAAAATTTTCATCAGTATTACTATTAAAAAGGATATAAGTAACAAAATGTCAACATGCATTATTGTCATCATCAGTTAAAATGTCAATTGGTACATTATCCTCACTCTAGTGTCAATCTAACATTTTTTGCTCTTTGATTTTAATATTGCTTTTCTTCTTTTGGCTTTTAATTTCTGTTCGATTCTTCTTGCAATTATTTTTCTTTCACTGATTTCAACATCACTACAAAGATTTGTTCAGTTTCTCTGATTATGACTTCCACTTTTGTAGCAAAGTTGATCGACAAATGTTATTTCATTGCTTGCCCAGGTCTTTGGTTTCAAATCCTGATCAAACAACTCTTTCTTTCTAGACAACAACTTCTCATTAACTTGCTTAATCTCTATTAGTGTGGCATTCACATGGGCCAGAGCTCTCTGGCTCTTCGCAACATCATCAGCCTTCACATTTAAAGGGGAATTCTCGGTATTGAGCACAGTTAATGTTTTCTGGATAGTTAATGTCTTCGGGATAGTACATTCTTTGTACGAACCAAGGATCTTCTTGACTTTGTTGACATTGGATATACTGTAATCTCCCACCGGAATCTTCTTTGACCATCTAAGTATGGCTGGAATCTGGATTGTTTGCTAGTATAAGCTGAATCATACACTTCCTTTGTCAAGGAATTGAAATATTTTAGTCTGTCTGTCTTTACAGTTGGTATGAGGAACTTTTTCCAGGGCTCTTCTTGAGTGTGTGTACTAGCACCCAACACAAACTTTGCACCAGCTAAAGTTATTGCTATTAAAATAGAAATAAAGCCTATGTTAAAATTATAGATGAAGCATGTAGCAATATCTGAGTACAAATTTGCTGTCGATGTTGAATGTTGGTCACGTAAATTCAGCAAACAAAAATATAATCATAGTGAATGATCAGTCTCTGATGTGCACTTACTTTTTTTCACTTTTCTTGGTTGAGTAACTTCAGTCTTTGCACTTCTGGGAGATACTTCTTTCTATTGGGATTTATTGCAAAGCACAGTAAGGGTCTTCCTGAATTTTACAAGATCGGTCCTACTAAATACTGCCCGGAGCGCCCGGGAGCGCCCAGGGATGCCTGGAAGCGGCCGGGAGCGCGTGAGAACGCCCGGGGATATACAAGGTTGTATAAATCAGTTCACAATACTTTTTGAGTCTCTATGAGGCATTATATTAAATGAAAAAAATATTAAAAGTGACTTTCAACCAGCCTAGCAACAAGTGGTGAAGCACGGTCGCCCACACAGGAAGTTGTGCGAAACATGAGATTATATTTATTATAAATGTAAATATTTGCTGTTATTTAAATTAAACTAAAGTTAAAATAAAAAATTAAGACTAGTTTTGTTTTAATATATCAACTGCTGAGAACAAGGCAGTTGTCATTTGCTGGCGTTCGAGAAAACGTTGTCATCAAGATTACCGAGATCTGTACGTAAAAGTCAAAAACAAAAAAGCCCATAAACTAAAAAGAGAAGATGACTATATAAATCACAAAACTATTTTCCCAGACCCAGAACGAAAACAAAAACATTTCGGGGATCCGAGGACTTTGGAATTTCCTTTTTATTTAAACAAAGCTAAGTTGAAAACTCGCCTTTTTAAGAAAGCTTTCCTCTGGACTTTGACTAAATATTATTAACCTAATTATTTTATATACCCCCTACTCTACAGGAGCCGATATAATATAAAGGCTGAAAAACTGCGTTTTTGTTTACGCGAAGTGTTTTTATGAGTTATCCAGCCATTGAGTTTTTTTACGCGGAATGTTTTTATGAGTCATCCAGCCATTTTATTGCTTCATTTAGTATTATTTTACAGATAAAGCACTAAACATACTTTCTAAGTTTGTTTGCCGATTGAGAAACGTAATGAAAAATAAAAATTTTGAATTTAGTCATAACCTCAAGTGATATATTATACGCATTAGTTTTGAGTGCGTGTTACGTAACATACAAAAAAATCTCCTCTTAAACATACTTACTCAACTAATGACGTCACACGTTGTGCTGAATAAACAACTTATATTTTGCACATTTTTGCATATAACTTCGGAACTATAGATGAGATAGAATAGAGCATTAAACGGCCAATCGGCTTATTTTTTCATGCTCTTTCAGATGAAGCAATAAAATTTTTTGTTGCTCATACCCTTTTAAAAAGGCGAGTTTTCAACTTAGCTTTGTTTAAATAAAAAGGAAATTCCAAAGTCCTCGGATCCCCGAAATGTTTTTGTTTTCGTTCTGGGTCTGGGAAAATAGTTTTGTGATTTATATAATCATCTTCTCTTTTTAGTTTATGAGCTTATTTGTTTTTTACTTTTACGTACAGATCTTGGTAATCTTGATGACGTTTTTTCGAACGCCAGCAAACAACAACTGCCTTGTTCTCAGCAGTTGATATATTAAAACAAAACTAGTCTTAATTTTTTATTTTAACTTTAGTTTAATTTAAATAACAGCAAATATTTACATTTATAATAAATATAATCTCGTGTTTCGCACAACTTCCTGCGTGGGCGACCGCGCTTCACCGCTTGTTGCTAGGCTGGTTGAAAATCACTTTTAATATTATTTTTCATTTAATATAATGCCTCATAGAGACTCAAAAAGTATCGTGAACTGATTTATACAACCTTGTATATCCCCGGGCGTTCTCAAGCGCTCCCGGGCGTCCCCTGGCGCTCCGGGCAGTATTTAGTAGACCCTACAAGATGGCCTGCATGGTTTTACCGATAGGCTGACTGCAATTAGTGCAATAAACATCTCCTGTCATTCTTTGTCAGTCAAGGATTGAAGGGACTCCAGATCATCAAAGCCAAGATTGTTAAACCTATCTAAACATTCACTAATTGAGAAATTCCTCTATATTTGATTTTGATGTTGCCATGTTGTTTTATATGTTTGTGTGTTTTGTGTGAACGTGCATTATTACGAAGCCTAGGGACTAGGCTGTATCATTGAACTATAAATAAACTTTAAAAACTCAATAATTAATGAAGAAAACACAAAGAAAAATCATAAGCGTGTCATATTATATCTGTATATGTGATACAGATTCATATTGATTTACATAAACTTTAAGGTTACATAAACTTTAAGGTTACAGAACACCTTTTGAGTGTTAATTTTGCCTGAATTTTTTTTATTGGTTTCAATGAAAGCATTAGACTAGTTCTACTATCTGACCAAGTTTGAACGCTGCAATAAGAAAAACATTGAAAATGTAATATTCAAATTCAATTTTCTCCCGAAAAATTTTACGGTAATTACTGATTTTCAAATTAGTTGTGCTCCTGCGGGTTTTAACCAATTTTTCTCAAATTTTCACAGGACATAGCTAAATACGTCAGTTTCAAAATTGTGTTCGGCTTTTGTTTAATTTTGGATATTTTAAAAATAAAGAGCAATTCACTCAAACAATTCAGAAATATATTGCAGTCGTCAAAGAAATCACCATATCAGTGAAATGACGAAATAAACAAAAAATTCCGAACACAATTTTTTAGAACAACTATTTTACTGTGTAAAAATGATATTTTCATAAATATAACTTCAAACGAGCAGGAGCACAACCCAAAAGCGTAAAGGTACCGCGATTTAAGATTTTCCTGAATAATGCTTACATTATTTTATTGTTTGTTAATTTTACAACTTTACCATATTTTGCATGCACTGGAGAACATTTGGTGAAAATTTGATGAAAATCGGACTGATATTGAGCGCGCAGTAGCGATTTTCCGCAAAACGCCAAAAAGGGTGTCCTGTAACCTTAACTTTGATTTTCTCGGCTTAGACAACGTTTGCCAAGGAACTCGTATAAGATGAGTTAAGCCATTTACAACATTCGCGTCCGTGTTGTATCGGATATACAAACTCGTACAACACGGCGGCTCATGTTGTAAATAGTACTTATAGTTCATTTATAGTTCAATGGGCTGTGTTTACCAAACGAGTTTTGGAGCCGGGATACTATTCAGAAAAAATTGTTCTACAATCGAGGATTCTGATGCAAATTTTGATGCAATATTATTTCAACATTGTAAACCTGATGAGGACTTTTTCCCACTTGTTGTTAAAACTCGCTATGGCCGCCATGCAGGACACTGGAACCTGTATCAGTTGCAATAAAATAGAGTAACCATTTGTAAAACTTATAATCTGCCACTTGATTGCCAAAGATTCCTCCTTGACTAGTTAAGTTATTAAGAGCGGTTGTCTGTAATAGTCAGGTAAGACGTGTAAAATGAGAAAATTCAAAATCCTTCAAACTTTGTCAGAATGTAGGCCTAT